ATTTTACTTTAACAATTTTAAATAACGTTGGCTTCTGTCTTAAGTAGACACATACAGTTACATTGACTGCTCTGTTGCGACTTCCGTCCTAACTTGTCAACATTGTCATTTCAATCAGTTGCTTTCATAAAGTCCTCGTAAAGACACACCATCTCAGGACTAGCAACTTCACGTGGAGTCATATGTCGCCATGTTACCTAATCCAACGGTAACTTTAACATCTTAATATTTTATAATAAATAATGAAAACCAAATTTAACTAATTGATTGTTAACGGGTTTTTACCCATATATTTAGTGGCTACATTCATGTACACCTAGTAAAGTATTAACCACCATGGTACAATGTATTCATTGTACCATGATTAACCACACTTTGCGTTAACTTTGGTCAAAATTTAAACTTCATGTTCTTTTTAATTAGGTGGTTATATACTTTTTAGGACACTGATGATGGAATATGGATTCCGAAAACGTTTTGTCTAACATAGTCCGTTTGGGTTTTTAAATATATACCTTTAACAAAGGATTTTAAGATTTTTTTTGCTATTACTTCATTATAAAGTATTTTGACAATGTCGTAATGCCATTTGGCAAAGTTCTATTAAAGAACTTTGCTTAAAGCTTAGGTAAGAGTAGAACTGAATATTAAATAACAAAACTGAAGATATTTTATGTAAATCATCTACTTCGCAAATGTTTATTGAACTGCCTACTTTTAGTATCTTTTAAGAACTGAGCTTTTAGTAATTTTTTGAAAAACCTCTCTTCTTAATATTTAAACAGACCCTACAACACTAATAATCTTATTAATTGTATAACAAACTGTTTACTTTTAGATGCCCAAAAGGATAAAACCATTCCGCTGTACAGATATCCGCAATTTAAGCGAAAATATTCGCATTTTCATCGAAGAAATCGTCATGGAAACTACAGATCAAGTGACCAGATCGTTTCTACGTGAAGCTCCCAAAATAGGTACTAGTCAAATACGCCCTCCTCATTGGCGGTTAAACAGAAATGGGTATGAGTTTTATGGAAACATTGGTTACAAATAATCAATTGGATGAACAGCTGATTTTTAATAAATGTTGTTTTATCAATAAAATGGTTGTAATAAAAATGTTTTCTTTATTTTTTTCAGTATTACTGACCCACACACTGTAGCAGCACTATGGTTTGTTTTTAACCAGGAGGAGTAAACTAAAAAGACAGTGCCCTTATTCTTGAATTTCAGGGAGTAGAAATTGCAAGAGAAAGTGACGTAAAAGTAGGCGTGGCTCCCTAAAACCGAAAATGCTGTATTCTTGAAAAAAACTCTCCTAATGTGTGAGAGAAATGTCACTCCCTAAGGGAATAACAATTTCTACTGATAGTAGGTAAGAGAAATTGTAAATGGGAGCGAAAATAATACATAACCTTTCAAAAACCTAGGGAAGTATTTTGTTTTTTAAAAAACGGAAGTTAATAACAGATGGATATCAATCATATTCTCTACTGGAATTATATTATGTTTAATGATGTTTTGGAGGCAGTTGAAGATCTTCAAATTGGCCGGGATATCCTCCATGGTATAATAAACTACAGAGGTAACATATTGCGCACGGTCGCTCGATCTTCGGCCAGGGAGTGACGTCAGTTGCAGCGTAGCAGGTAGCAGCAGTGTTCCCAAACCTACTGATTTCGCCGCTTTTCTACCGATGTACCGCTACCGAATTTTATATTCAGATAGAAATTTTTACTTTTTCTTAAATTTGAGAAGAAATATGTAAGAGACAATACAATTTTTCTTGCGATACCTGTAATTTGCATTGAGCATTTTGTACTCACAAAAACGTGTGAAAACATTAAAAAATTTATTCTTAAATGATACCTAAGCGGTCCTTTACAAAGTACATGATGTAATAAAAGCTAATAATACAATAATAAATGAATCAAAATCCATTGTGATCCCGACCGCTTGGTTCTGGGAATTTGTCAAGTATTAACTTAAAACCGGAACTTAAAAACCGAAGACTTAAAACCGGAACAACGCAATTTTAATCTAAGCTTCCGAGTGCACCTCACGTAAAAACTCTAAAAACTCGGTAGTCTGTTTGTTGTATAATATTTCCTTCTAAAAGGGTTTTATACTCGAGGTTTCGGTTCTCGGCTAAGTATTCAATTGACTAATGCTGGGTAGCAGCATTAGTTAGAAACTAGCAACCGAAGAGTGAAGTTATCAGTTTCGGACTTTTCTCACAATATTTTTTTAATTTTTACGATATGCGTTGTGCGGTATTAGGCTGTTCCTCTGATAACCAGAGCAAGCGAAATCCTTGCCCTGGCACGAGGTTTTTCGTTTCCCTAAAGAGGAAAAACTAATTAAACAGTGGGTGCACGCCACCGGTAGGAAAGATAAATTTAACCCAAAGACGGCTTATATTTGTTCAAAGCATTTTACAGAGACTGACTTTTATGTAAATCTTAAACATCAACTGCTAAATTATCGGCCGAAAAATTATCGGGGTTTGAAAACGAACAAGAATTTGCCTATGATGAAACCTGAGGTTACCACAAGCCACGATGGCGCATTAAAAAAAAGGCAAAGAAAACAACTCGTTGACGAATTATTAAGCAGGTAAGTTAAATGTAACTTTTTTCTAGATATAAGCTTCTATAGAACTTCTTAGAAATCATTTACTTATTGCTTATTTAATTTCCGTAGCAAACTTGAAGGCTCTGGGGCTAACATTAAAGAAGTAGGCACTGAAGATAACTCTCAACCCAAAATGATATTTTAAATAGAATGTCTGACATGATTTCAACAATGCGCATTAAAGGCAAGAAATCATTGCTTCCACTCCAAAAAGGTAACACAGTATATGAAAGTAAAAACACATTTATAACATTTTACAAAACATTGTAGGTATTCTTATATCAAATAAGGCCTCTGCAGTTGCTGCTTGAAGATGTAGGCAAACGCTATAATATGAACTACCTTTTGACGAGACGCTTAAACCAAGATCCCTTGGAGAATTTTTTTGGAGTCATAAGAGCAAAAGGTGGTTTAAACGATCATACAACTTCTTTAGATTTTAAATACCGACTGCGTTCTTATTAAATGGGAAAAAATGAAGGTGCTTTTTCAGATTACTGTAATGTAGAAGACGATGGTACTCCTACATTAACTATGAGCGGTAGTATGGTAGAAAAGCTTGCTTAAAAAAATAACAATCATTGACACCAATCCCACGGATGGAGATGACATAGTCCTCTGTGAAGAACTCGATGATTTAAGATTGATGGACTAGAACATTTAAGAGGATTTATTTGTAGCAAGCTTAAAGGCAAGTTACCAAATTTTAACTAACCCAAGTTCGACGTCTTACACCTGGACCAATCATTTGACAGAAGGTGGACTATGTAAACCTTCTAATGAATTTATGGCTCATTTGGAAAAACTGGAGCAATTTTTCAAAACTTTAATGGAGATACCATATTTACTGGCAAACAATATGTTTCAAGTCTGTTATCTGCAAGTGTTAATATTGATTGTCCTCAAGATGCTAAGAAAATATTTTTTCGATGGCGTATGTACTTCCGTATAAAAGATTTTAATAAAAAACTTATTTTAGCACGTACTAATAAAAGAAGAATAGAAAAAACTATTGCATAATGTATATAGTATTATATTTTTAAACGCAAATTGTTTTAAAACCGCTTTATATACAGTTATTTAGCAAGAATATTAACACGATCGTAATATTTATTTTCAAAATTGGCATCTGACTTGTGTAAGTGACGGTTGTTTTAAGTATTTAAACTTAACTATATATTTACCAATAATGTATAATATAAAAATTCTGTTCCTTCTTAAAAGTTTATAAAAAGTGGAAGTATGTAGGTACCTAAATAAGTAGCTTTCTTTTTGTATTAATACCTTATTTGTTCTAATTCGCATAAAAATTAAATATATTTGACTAAGAAAACATTATAAACATTCGTTTTTATTTAAAATGTATGAAGACAGTAAAATAATATGCAAAATATCCATATTTAGGATGACTAAATTACGAGTGCTTATGTATACAATTAAGAGCAATGTGAATACTAAGCTGAGAGTGACGTCGCTGCGCAAGGTTAACGCGAATTTGCACTTCGGAATAGGTGGCCCTGGATATCCTCCAACCAACGGACCCATTTCTTTTGTCAGATAGAAAATTTTTACTAATTTTAAAATATATTTTGGAATATTCAAAGGTAGCAATAGTAGCAGGGTAGCAGTTATGATTAAACTGCTCCAAAAAATCTGTTCAAGGAACATCTGTTAAAAACAGCGGAAAAACTTAAATCCAGCAACAAAGTCATCCAGAAGCTGTGCGGCACAACATGGGGAGCATCGGTTTCCACCTTGCCATCATTTGCCCTGGGGCTTGTTGCAACCGCGGAATACTGCTCTTCATCCTGGCTTAACAGCTCACATATACACAAAGTAAATGCCCAATTGAACAATACACTGAAAATGGTTGCTGGCGTTATCAAATCCACCCCTACACAATGGCTCCCAGCACTGAGCCACATTCCACCACACTCACTAGTGAGTATAGAAAGATACTTAGTAACGAGATCCTGTCAATCCATCAAGATATAGATGCTGCCAACGAAAAACCGTCTACGCTCCAGACGACCGCCAATAAAAACAGCACAGACTGATGTGGAAAGTGTGTTCAACTTAACAACCACTTGGACTCGAGAATGGATGGAACAACAAAATAGCAGCTTACTGTGAACAACCACAAACCATCTGTCACATTACAGAACAGTGGCCATCTGCCACAAGATTCTATCATGGCAGACAAGAGGATTTCCTAATCGAGACTCCAGAGTCGATAGACTATATAAATAAGTTAGATGTTCGTTTGTAAACATATGTATTGTTTTATACAAAATATATGTAAATTTAAATGTGTCATACGATAAATAATAAAAAGAATAAATCTCATAAATAAAACTTTCACATAAATCGTTTGATATTTATATTTTAAATAAAAAATTACAACTGCTCACACTTAATATTAACAATAGAAAATAAAAACAAGTCTTGTTTTGAATAAAGATAATAAAATAACTAATCCTGCCCATTTCTTGGTTTTTTAACACTTGGTCCGTCAATATTTCTATGTCTTACTATACGTTTAGCTTTAAGAATTGAGAGCGTGTCTCTATTAGTTTGTCGCGGGAATTCGCTTACGTCCGGTTTAGGGTTCACTACGCGTTGAGTCACAAAATCACTAGGCACGGCTTCATTAGAGGGTTTGATGGGCGATCCGGTTTCTTCGCCCTTTATTTCGCTTTCCGAGAAGACGTCTGACAAGGATTCTTTGGAGGAATTCAACGGTAGATCATCTTTCGACGTTTCAAAGGATTCTTCTTCTTCCTCCTCCTCTTCCATCATTTCTTCCTCGTCCTCTTCATCTTCATCCATTTCATGTTCGACGATTTTACCTAAAAAACATTATTTTAGTAAGACTTTCTACTTGAAAAATGGTTGGGAATACTTGGCGTGAGCGTCACGAGAGTATTTTTATTGTTAGGTTGAAGTGTGAGACAACGTTTATCGTTGGTCGGCTGAGTTGGAGTGTACTGTGGGACAATTGGTCATGCTAACTTACAAAAAATAGTTCTGCAGTCACTTTAGTGGAACTTTGTATCTGACAAGTGATCGGACTGGTTGGCGTGAGTGAGATAGAAGTGCCTCTACGATCAGTTTAAAGTGTTAAACAATGTATATCATTGATCAGATGAGTTGAAGCGTACTGTAGTAAAAAATTTGTCTACAAAAACACATTTGCAAAAATATCTAGTAGGTCATTCTGGCAGGATTTTTTATATGAGAAATTCGACCATTACATTAAGTGTGGGGCAAGGTAAGTTGCTTAAGTACAACTTTATACCTGACTGTTGATCGTGAATGTGAGTCATATAAAATTAAAGATATGTAATAAGGGTAGATCGAGATAAAAATTAGTCCTATAGAGAGATGTGCCAACTATATATCAGTAGGGAGATATTTAGGAAGATAAAACATACTGCGATAATAAGAACAGCTCAAGATAGCGCAATTTGCTGTAGTTATTATAGCCAACCTCCATTAATGGAGAGGCACCTTAAGAAGAAAACATACTAGAGAGACACGAATTACTAAATATGATGATAAAAAACTGTAAGATTTGGTAAAAAAAGAAGGCCGATAGTTTTTTAAATGTTGTCACTTACCGTGCAGCGTTGGAAAGGCTATATTGTCTGGCACTAGCCTTAAATCCTTGCCATATTCTCGCATTAAAGTTTTTATTAAAATAGCTATATCTTCACGTTTCCTGGTAACGATGATTTCTTCGAACCAATTCTGGATTTCTTTTATAGGTATCCGGAAGTCTTTAATAGGATCCTAAAATCAAACGTTATTTTTAATATTGATTTAAAAAACTGCATATCAGTGATAATATTACTCTAACCTTCGTTAAATAGAAATATGTGAGAACGAACCGATCGCGGTTTTGACATTTGGCATCCAACGTGCGACGTCTGTCCAAATTACCATTAGTTTAACCGTGAAAACAACTTTTCTCTTTTGAAGCTTGATTAAAAACATTAAAGGTGTTAAAGAAGCATAAAAACCGTCACAATGTAAAAGAACAAATGAAATATATTAAAAGCGGTGTTCAATCTTAAAAACTGTTGGAAAAGCAGCAAAAATGTAGAAATAGTATTTAAAAAGCTTAAAATAAACTAAATTGCTAAAAGTTCGTTATATGCATCTAGAAACTTACAAAAAATATCGAAAACGAGGGCCAAAAATTTCGGAAATTACTTTTTACAGAAAAAATTTAGTCGAATAATCGAATAATTACAAAAAAGTCCAAAAACACCAAAAACGTGTTGATAAGGAGCATACAAAAAGAGCCGAAAACAAAAAAAAAAAAACGTAAAAATGGCATATTGTCATACGAAGATTAACTAACAGGCGTTCAACAAACTTGAAATTTTTTAATATAACAAAAGTATGTAAAATCATCGAAAAGCGTCAAAAAAGTAACAAATGAAAGCACGGAGAGCATAGAAAAATTGTGAAAAGCTTTCAGCAAGTATCAAAAACGTTTAAAAAAGATTAAACACCGTCAAAAACGTTACGTTAATATGAATTAAAAGAGTAAAATAACGTTGAAAAGAGGTCAAAGTGGGTAAAAGTCATTTAATGTGTCAAAAAACGTTAATCATCTAAAAAGTGCTAAAAGCTTTAAAATTTGTCACAAACATCAAATGCAGTAAATAGAGCCAAAAGCAAAAACTGAGTATCTAAAATGTGTCGAAAAGAAAAAGCACAGAACAAACGTAGAGAAAAAACAAACGTCAAAAATAAGAAACATTAAAGGAACCCAAGACAAAACGATAAAAAGTATCAAAAACTTGAGAAGAAATAGTACCATAATAGTACATAGATCATCGAAAAAGCGTAGGTAACATAAAAAAAACGTCAAAAAAAGAGAAAATCGTCAACGGTGTGAAAATCACGAAATGGTACCGAAAAACTGTCCAAAATTTAAACCCAGCACCGAACAAGCATAAAAAAAACATAGGAAAATCATAAAAAACTTTACAAGAATGTCAAAATTGTTTAAAAAGCATCAAAAGGATCGCTTTGCATTAAAAGTGTCAAAAAAAAATCCAAAAAAAGGGTTCAACACAATTAAAAAGTACCAAAAGTGCCAAAACGCAAAAAGAACATCGGACGAAAAATCAATCATTGGGAAAGCATTAAAGTTGTAACAACAGCGTTGGAAATTCGTACAAACGTTAGATTTTTTAAAAAGCATCTATAAACGCAGAAAAATATCGAAAAGATCACCGTCCAAAGTTATACAACTGCCAGAAAAATGTCAAAATACTTCAAAAGAGCTACTACTACCAAGCGCTAAAAAGTGTTAAGGAAGCTGCAGAAGCTTAGAAAAAAACGAAATATCGTCAAAATCTTTCAACGCGTGTCAAAAATGTTAAATTGGTGTCCAAAGAACGTTAAAAAGCATAAAAAAGTTGAAACACTTTTATAGAAATGTCAAAGAAAGCACCAAAACGAGAGGGATAAAGGAAAAAAGAAATAGAAAAAGATGGAGAGCAAACAAAGTGGAGAGGAAATAAGAAGAAAAGACGGCGAAGAGAGGGAGAAGTGAAAAAAAAAGAGGGAAAAGAGAGAGAAGCAGTAGAAAAAATAAAGAAAAGATAGAAAAGAGATAAAGAATAGAGGGAACAATAAGGGAGAGAGAGAAAAGGGATATAGAAAAGAGGGAACCATCAGGGAGGAAGAAAAATGGAGAGACGAGAAAAAAGAGAATATAAAAAAGGTGGAGGATAAAAGAGAGAGAAAACAAAGGGAAAAGGGAGTTGGCAAAGAGAAAATATAAATAAAACTTTATAATAACTAACCTTTTAAATGAATATTTCACTAAACTAAAAATACAAACTCCAAAACCCAAAAATCACATGCTGTTTTGCATTAACTGTGAAGGTGTCTATATCGGGAAAAACCAGTCAACTGCTTCAATCCAGAATTTGACATATGACAAGAACAACGTCACTGTGCTCACAAAACATAAAAATGACAAGAAGCATAAATTTGACTTCGAAAATATCAAAATTGTAAAAACCGAACACAACAAAAAGAAGAGGGAGATTACGAATCAATACAAATCAAAAGAAATACCAACTGAATCAATGGTAAAAAAGATACCCAAAACCTAAATAAAATATATTTCAATCTGATTTAAATAATAATAAATATAACACCATAAAAAAACTCTTGGAAGTCATAACATACCTCCACTTAAACCATGAGATATCAGATATCAATTTTTATAGTCTTATTTATACAATTAAAGTCAGAAAACTGAAATATCTAGGGACGTGTCATGAGGAGCGAGCGTTATAACTTGTTGCCATTAATAATGCAAGGAAGAATACAGGGTAGAAGGAGTCGGGGAAGAAGACGCATCTCCTGGTTGAATAATTTGAGAGCTTGGTTTAAGTGCACTTAGAGCAGCGGTATCGAAAGTGCAAATTGGCGTGATGGTTGCCAACCTTCTTAGAGGAGATGGCACGCGAAGAAGTCTTATTTATTTTACAATAACTTTTTGTTCCTAATCTTGTATATTTTAGAATCTTGACAAAGGCAAGGGTTTCCTGCCGAAACGGTGATTTCAATGGACGATAAAATCTAGTCCCAAATTTAATATATTTTATTGAACCTAAACCCAAGAAATACTAATATATATTGCATCAAAACATTGTAGAGACAATAATAGTCGATACTATATGTAAACAAATAAACCAATTACTAAAGCCATTAACTAAATAACATGAAACACCTACCTTAAAAAATTGCTCAACGTATTGTAACAGGTACAGTCCACAGTCCGTGAAATTATTTTGTTGTGGAACTTTCGGACAGGCTCCCTTGATAACGTCTTTATTAAATACTCTCTCGCTTCCCATTCGTGATTTGTATTCGCACGTTAAATAGTCCCTTAAAGTAGCAACCACCCGACATCTGCTAGCTCCGGATAAAGAATCGAATATAAGAATGCAGGGCCTGAAAGATACAAGTTTTTTAACACTAATCCAACTTAACATCGTAAGGCATTACGAAAAACAGTAAATATTACTTTGGATATTGCCAGCACTTATCTTAATCACTTAATCCAATAAATGTACTAACAACTTTTTGATTTGATCGATGGTAATTTGTTTTTCATTCGGCAATAAGTTTTTCCAAAATATAAAGTATATGAGCGAATCCATGATAATTCCAGCTATGGACGACACAGTCAATCTTATCTTTAAGCATAGTGTTCCAATTAATGTAATAACATTTGTAGTTAAATTTAATTTTAATTACTTAAAAATATTTCGAATTCTCCCAAATTCATTTTTACAATAGACACTTCTTTTTATGGGCGTAGTACACTATCACAACCACCTTTACTTCCAAGCCATGAAGTAAAAAAGGCAACACCGCATTCTATGACGTCGGTAGTCCGATAATCAGCTGTAAGGTCTACCACAAAATTAAACTTATTTGAATTTTAGGAAACTGATATTTTGAAAACTGCAATTCATTACAGAAATATTTTTAGGGAAATTAAATTAAGAAAACCTTATATTTACCTAATAAATATATATAAAGTTTTATTATTATTTAGGTTATATTATCAATAAAATAATCACTAGAGTAAAATTTATTGCACTTAAAATACAGTGTCAGTTAATCTTACAATCAAATGCAGTCAAGAATCTCTAGAAATTTTAAATATTAAGTACTTAAGCATATAAATAACACAATACATTAACACGACATTTAAAAAGATTATTAAAAATACAAAAGATATAAAATTTGTTCAGTAAAAACTTAGTGTAACTATTATGATTAAAAAATTCATCCTAAGAAATCAGACACAATATAAATATGGTTCTAAATAATCTAATTGAAAATTAAATATTTTACTATTTACTTATAACTTTTGTTGAATTTTCATACTTAGGTATACAAAGTAGCAATTTTAAATATGAATAGGTTTGTTGTCATATAGACCAAGTTAAGAGAGGTATACATGAAAAATGTGTTGAATGTAACATACCATTTATAACTTGTATATCGATTTAAAATAGCCTATATTCTCAAAAGATTTTTGAATGTAATACTCAAATTTGTTATCACTTATCTAAAAAGCAGATCTAAATGAGAAAGTAAGTTCTCTAATTGTGACCATCTTGTTAATTTACTATATTGTAAAATCCATTTCAAATCATTACTACTTAATCTATTCTTACCTACATTGATGATTACACTAAAATTACTGCTAACTATTACACTATGTATTACACAAATATTATCACACTTGTATCTCAACTGATTAATGTTTAATACATAGAAATATACACAGTCACTTGTAATTTTACTTGTCCAGTTTTTCAATGGGATATTATTGTCTAAGTCTAATTGTCATAATTATGTTATCTCTTGTTCCCTCTTCTTATGCAAAAAGTTTCTTCTGTCTTCGGGATTCCTTCTTTCTTTAGTACGATGAACAGTTACATATGATGGTACTTCAGGAAATATATTAGGAACTGCATTGCCTTTTAATTTGGGAAATATTAACTTTTCAATGTGTACATTTCCATCTTTATCTTCTCATTGTTCAGTCCGCTGAATATCATCTTCATGAAAATGTTTGGCACATACTACGGAAGATTTGGTAATTGTATAGCCTTCTCTATGAATAGAGTATAACCCAGTATACCTTCTTTGGGGATCTTTGGGAAACGAAAACGTACTTTCTGCCTGTTTCGTTTTTAAAGTACTGGCATAATTGGTTTTGCAACCAGGTACACAACAATGCCAGAGCATCTGTAACAAAAAAAAACAAAAGTATTATTATTGTTGTTTTTAGTTTACATATTTTGTAACAAGAAGCAAAAGTATTATTATTTTCAGTTTGTTTTGTAGGTTATATTTATACTTGCCTTTTAAATTGTCGTTACGAATCTTCTAAAAGTTCTAAATTTAATGAAATTTCACTTGTATTAATATTTTCTAATTGATTTAAACACAATTTACAAATAAAACACTCGAATAAAGTTAAAAAAACACTAAATTCAACAAACTTTACAAGCCTTCCTATATGAAATGTTGAACAAAACAAACCACGGTCGGACTACCACGCGTTGTTGCCAAATTTCTACTTCATGGCTTGGAAGTAAAGATGGCTGTGACACTATCCATTCTTTCGATATAAATTCTATTTTTCTAAATTCTAAACAATTTTATTTATGAATATTTACATTAAAAATTTGAATCACAATATATTTTTAAAATGATTCAGTTATTAAAAGAAGTTGCATTTGTTGCACCACTGTTTCGTATTTTAGAAGCAGTAGTAGCGCTGACGTGACCGCTAGTGGTACAATAAGGAACTACAAGCTTGTTCAACTTCTTCTTCTCTATAATGTGTATACCTTCTGCCGAGAATAAAAAATGACACTTAAAGATCCTTCTATCTGCATCTCTATATTCTTTGCTTATAGGCCCACCTCTGTATTAAGTGTACTTTGCGCCATGATACTAAGACTAAGAAGATAAGATATTGCGCATAAGTCGTGACGTCATTGGAGAGTTTGACGTTTGAAATGTCAGTTTTTTGTATGTATCAATAAATAATCTTTAATAAATAGTTTGGATATATTCTTATGTGTACGATTATTGTAATTATTAAACCTCTTAACTTATTTTCGTCTAGTAATTTCATCACAGAATGCATACAAATCCCATTTAACTTTAACAACAATTCAAATTCTACTCTCCAATGACGGCATGTGCTAACACGACCTATTTTGTGCTACGGGAAGATCCTATCTTAATATTATAGTATCATCCTTTGCGCTAAGCGCGACGAAAATATTGATTATCATTCCAGCGAAGAGCAGGGTTCACACTTATTTCACAAAACTTTGATTCTATCGTCAGTATAGTCAGTTTTTATTACTGTAAGTATTTTGTCGACTTCCAAGGGTCGATATTTGATGTTCTTGGTTAGGAGTTTCCTTTGCGTTAGAATTTTTGAATTTCTTTTGATGTCTCAACTTTTCAAACCCTCAATAAGGTTTTAACGTAAGATAAATACGTAACTATTGTAGAAATGTCCAAGTAAACACGAAACATTCAACTGTATAGAAAATTTAAAAATACTGACTAGACAAATCATCTACTTACTGTTTAATGGGCACTCTCGGTTCTTTAGAGCTCCTACTCGTAGAAGGTGGAGTGCTTGCCCTTTTAGCATTACTATCGGCCGAATTCGTACTTGTAGGTGTAGAACTAGGCGTTTGACCGTTCTGAGAAAGCGGCAATTCTTCAGAATCATCTGATTCCATCTCACTATCGTCTCCTTCTGCTTCGTCTTTATCACTCGCCTCGGGATCATCGCACGATATCGCTTTAGCGAGTTTTTCTTGTTTAATTGCTACGGTTACGTTGGCAATGCTAACGGTTGTTGTAACGTTTTCTAAACAAAAAAAATATGTCTCAATAAAGAATATTACAAATTATTACAATAAATTGCAGAGAAGCAATAATGGGATTGACACTAATGGCAGAAAGGTATCTCGAGGTTCAAAAACAGCTGTATGTGTGCTTGTCGATTATAGAAAGGCCTTCGACCGCATTCGATACGAAAAATTGATTGAGGTGCTAAAAGAAGTAGGGCTGGACGGACACGACATAGCTATAATAAGCAATACATACTGGAACCACACAGGATGTGTTCGAACAGACAACGGAAATACCAATTATGTAAACATAGAACGAGGAGTGCGTCAAGGGTGCATTCTGTCCCCTCTTCTATTTAATGTCTATGCCGAAAATATCATCAGAGCTTCTCTTGAAGATCGCCCTGAAGGTGCCAGAGTCAATGGAATCATCATTAACAATGTAAGATATGCCGATGACACCGTAGTATTAGCAGAAACAGAAGACCAACTAAAAATATTGATGAACATACTATCAGAAGAAAGTCACAGACTAGGTTTGGATATTAATCTTTCCAAAACCAAAATCATGTTATTCCACAAGAACCCCCATGAACAAATTACACCCAACATACAAATCAATGGTATCACCCTTCAGAGCTCCCAAAGCTTCATATACCTGGGCAAAGAGCTAAACAATCAGCTAGACCACTCAAAAGAAATTAGAAGACGTATTGAAATAGCAAGATCTCGCTTCATGAACATGCGTAAAATGCTCTGTAACCCCAAGCTATCAATCACAATAAGGTTAAGAACACTAAAGTGTTATGTGTGGTCTCTACTACTATATGGCTGTGAGACCTGGACATTAAAACAGTATGACGTCAACAAACTGAATTCATTCGAAATGTGGATGTACCGCCGAATGCTAAGAATAAGCTGGACCAGCAAAACTACAAATGAAGAGGTACTGGAAATAATGAACACACGACCTCATCTGGTTAATACAATCAAAATTAGAAAGACGTCATATCTAGGACACATAATGCGCCATAAGGAATTTGAGCAGCTCCAGGTAATATTAGAAGGCAAAATCGAGGGTAAAAGGGGTATAGGAAGAAAGAAGAAATCCTGGCTCCGAAACATCAGAGATTGGACTCACACAACAGGAAATGACAATCCATCAAGCCCAGAACAGAGAGAAATTTGCCATATTGATCGCCAACCTCAATAGAGAAGGCACTTAGGAGGAGGACAATAAATTGCATAAGCCGGCCTCATAACGGCTTTTAGATAAATCTATGCTGGTGTTTTCATTCGAATCGATGAATCAGATATTTCGTCTATATACCTTACCTATCCCATATTTTATTACAGAGAAATAAACGGCAGAAGTATCGGAGGACCGCGCAGAAGATGGAGTGTCAACCTTCCATAGAGATATTAATTTGTCAATGAACAAGACAGAATTGCTTATAAAGAGGAAGAACAAGAAAAAATAAAAAAGAGCGGTTTTTGTTATTGTAGAGATTCGTTATTTTCGAATTAAGTAAAGCAGCTGTAGAAATAAATCAATAGTATATATCAATCTGCTTTACTAATTATGACAAAACATACAAGAATAAAGTCTGAAGTTGAAAAATGTTGCTTACTTTTCTTTTTAGATTTAACTTCGAGTTTGTAAGGTTTTCCGTCCCAGGTATGACAGCCCGACATTCCCGGAAAGCATATTATAGCTAGAAACCAATGGGCGTTCTCGTTAATCGGAACTATTATGAAATCCTTCTCGAATATATTGACGTTTTTGCTCCATTTCTTGACTCTGGCGTGGCGTTTTTGTGCCGGTGATAAGGTCGGATCCAGTTCACTGGGCTGAGATTTCCTAAAACACAAAACGAAACAATTTGTAAAATGCAAAGGACACTGAAGAATGATCGAAATATCTGACCAAATTTTGTTTAAATGATCTCTATGCGCAAGGTCAGGTTCCTCCAAACACTTTTCAAAAAATAGAATGTTTTTTTAATTGCTAGAAAATTCTCTTAGAAATAGTATATAATTAGTCCCGAAGGCCCGCGCGACCTTGAAGTAGGTATAGAAAAGGGAAGAGCTGTGTGCGCCAAGCAGCAAGCGGTTAATCCACTCGCTCAAACGGTCCGGGTAACGGCAGCTGTTTATATTAAACAGCTTTTCTCGAAACTCCATTTTTTCAACCTAGTGTCACTCGTATTTCAAAACTGTTTCACTTATCAACATGAACCAAACGGCATTTTACTCTTTAAGGTCGATTCAGACACATCAGTCACGTCTCGTCACAGTCATGGCGCCGAACCGAACAATCCGTCACACAAAATATTCTTTAATAGAAATATGGCGCCGGCATTCACATTCATCAGGCGACGAACAGTTTCCCAGCTGTCAGATAATTAATAGTTCTGTCACCAAACAGGACCGGTTCGGCGCCGAGACTATGACGGGACTGATGTGTCTGAATCGACCTTTAGGTGTCTATAATCGGCACTACAATCAAAAATATTCAGTTATTTAAAAAAGTTATAAACTATAATTAAAAGTACAAACAATGGTCTAAAATTTAAAAAATCTGTCATTTTGTTTTTTTTTTCTGTAAAAATATTTCAATAGTACCGGCCATAGCCAATTCCATACAGAATATGAAACCATTTTGCTTTTGCTTTTGGATGATTCGTCTCCAAGAAATGACGACATTTTGAACGAGTTTGTGAAGCCATTTTCAGAGTCGCCATTACAAAAATTTTAGTAGTTTAATGTATGTACAGTAGACTCGCGAATATCCGAGTCTAGGTTATCCAAGTCCCTTGGTTCACCGAAGGAAAAGACATAGCTGGTGAGACACAATAATTGCGAGCAGTTGTGCGCTGTTAGGTCCAGGCGGAATTTTCAGAAATTTTTCAGCACCTCATTTTTAGAAATTTGTCTGTCGCGTTTTTTCTACAATTATTGTTCCTATGTTAATCAGTGTGACTTGGACAAAGGTGAATCCATAAAAAAGGTTGCTTCAGATTTAGGTGTTGCAGAAGTATCTGTTGGAGAATAGAAGCGTAAACGGAATGAAATCGAATAGTGGGCCAACCGAAGTGTGAGTGGTGGGAGTGGATTGTCGCGGAAGGCCATGAAGAAATGAGACCATAAACAAACTTCTTGTTCTCGTGGTTTTCACAAATAAGGGATTGGGCAGCCCAACAAGTGGTCCAATACTCCAAGAAAAAGCTATTGAATTCCAAAATAAGTTTATGGATGGAGGAGAAAACTTTTGTGCTAGTGAGTGAGGGATTGACTCATGTAAAAAATATGGTATCCGGATGAAATATGACTTCAGACCAAATATTTAACTGTGATGAGACAGGTCTTAATTTTAAACTGTTTCCTTCGAAAATACTAGCTGCTAAAAGTAAAAAGTAAGTGAAATTAAAATTAAAACCGCTTTTAACAGGAAAATCCAAGGGCATTCAAAAATATCCAAGCCAATTGCTATCTAAACACTATGACAACCAACGCAATGCATCCATGGACTGTAACATTTTTAAGAACTGGTTTTTTAACGACTTTGTACCAGTCATTGATGCCATCTAAAAAACAAAAATCTACCTTTGAAAGATTTCTTGTTGTCAGAAGCGCATGATCCCACCCAGTAAATTGATTAGTGGTGACATAAGAGTTGTATTCCTTTAACTCAATGTGGCGTCTTTCATCCAACTCCAAGACAAAGGCGTTATAGACCAAACAATGAAGAGGAATTATCGGGCGGAGGCTTCTTCAGGTACTGCTAAACAGGCTGGATGGACTGATTGTAATTGACGCATTGAAAAAGATCACGGTTAGAGATGTTTGCTATTGGAGTGCATTGGCATGAGATGATGTAAAAGTGTCCATTATCCAAAAATAATGGAAAAAAATATTTCAGATAGAAAATAAAACACTGGACCTTCAAAAATAAACTGATGATTGTGATGTTGACAGTATAGCCAACCTAGCCAATCTAAAACCAAGACGTCACTGATTGGATGAATGGAGATGAAGAAATGGAACTGACAGATGACGCAATTGACGATCTAGTTTTAAACATCAACCATGAAGAAGATATGGATGAGATAACTCAAAAGATTTACGATTCTGATGGATTAAAGGCCCCCTTGAAGCAGCTCTCACATACAATCGGGCAGCAAGAGGAATCGACAAGCCAGTACACATCATTAATTTTTAACGTTGGCTCAACATCACCGCCTCAAAAAAAGAATGAAGTTTACGCAAAAATCAATCAAATATCTTTTTAAACTGTGATATTAATAAGATAAATGTTTTTATCTACAGTACTGTATTAGTTTTTAGTCATTAAAATAACCACAGTTATCGTTATTCACGTGTTTTTCTATCATTACAACCAATCTCGGTGTCAACCGGGTTTTTCCCGTATCCGAGGTAGTCACGGTATTAATTACCTCGGATAATCGCGATTCAAAGCTACAATATTTTATCGAAAGGGCTGTGCGATGATAATGGAAATCTACAACTAGACCCGACAAAATAGTTAAAATCTGGAAAACTTATGTGGAACAACTGGTTAATGATGATCGTCCTAGTGGGTATGCACTGAGCATGATGATAATGGCCCTTCTATTCTAAAATCAGAAGTGGAGAATGCTATAAAGGGTCTTAAAAATAACAAAAGACCAGGCAACGATAGTCGATAACGTATACGGGGAAGTATTGAAAATACTGTGCGAAACAAACAGTCAATTTCTAGACTCACTCGTCAGACTCTTTAACAATATTTATAACAGCGGGGAGTTTCCTGAAGATTGGCTAGAGTCAACGTTTGTTGCCATAACGAAAAAAGCAAAAGCAAAGTCTTGTGATCAACATCGGATGATAAGTCTAATTAACCACATTTCGAAGGCATACACCAAGGTTATTTACAACAGAATAAGCAAAAAATGCGAGGATAACATTGGAGATTCGCAGTTTGGGTTTCGGAATTCTCTTGGGACAAGAGAAGCACTTTTTAGTCTACAGGTACTCATCCAGCGCTGCAGAGATATGAACAAAGACGTGTACTTATGCTTTATAGACTACGCAAAAGCATTCGATAACGTAAAGCACGAAAAGATAATTGAAGTTCTCCATAAGATCGGAGTCGACTACAGAGACATTCGAACAATAGCGAGTCTCTATTGGAGTTAAACAGCTAAAGTGAAAGTAGGATCTACATTGATCAATAAAATTGAGATCAAGTATTTAATACAGCGCTAGAGGAAAGCACAGAAGGCATAAAGATAAATGGAGAAATAATAAATAAGATAAGGTATGCTGATGACACTGTGATTCTAGCAAGTAGCATGGAGGAACTGAGTTGCCTAATGAGTAAGATACAAAAAACAAGTGCACAATACGGACTCAGACTAAATATCACAAAAACCAAATGGATGTTAGTAAACAAAACCCAACAACCACCACAGCAACTGATATTAGACAATGAAAGAATTGAACACGTGGATTCGTACATCTACTTGGGAACAACAGTTAACTCAAATTGGGATCAAGCGAAGGAAATACGTATAAGAGTAGAAAAGGCAAGAGCATCGTTCACTAGCATGAAGCAAATTTTCATCTCTAAAAGCCTCACCCTACCTCTCCAAATTCGACTTCTGAAATATTATGTATTCTCGGTTTTGTTATATGGAATGGAGGCGTGGACAATGACCGCAACATTGATGAAAAAAGTAGAGGCCTTCGAAATGTGGGCTTACCGACGTACATTACGTATATTCTGGACTGAGCACGTGACCAACGAAGAGGTACTACGCCGGATAGGTAAAGAGAGAGAGGTAGAAATAAGTATAAAGAAAAAAATTTGGAATACTTGGGTCACGTTATGAGACATAATAAATATAGAGTACTACAGCTGATCGTTCAAGGGAAAATAGAGAGCAGAAGGGGTCCAGGGAGGAGAAGACACTCGTGGCTCCAAAACTTGCGGCAATGGTTCGGATTGTCATCTGCTGAACTATTCAGATCTGCCGTAAACAAAGTCAGAATAGCCATGTTCATTGCCAACGTTCGGAACGGACAAGGCACACGAAGAAGAAGAATCGCGATTCGACTGTACTTTCACCTGTAAAAAGTTTGATTTGGAAATATCTTTTGTACTATAAATAAAATGAATTTAAAAAAACACGTTTTTTGGAGGAACCTGGCCTTAAGATTAAGAAAATGTGTAGGCATATTGAACAATAAGTTATTTCCATGGCCGTGAAAACGAAGAAAGAATTATAAAGGGAAATCTCTATAACTCCAATAATATTGATCAAATTTACTTCAAATTTGGAGCGAATACTCGAAGTACAATACTTTCATAGGGAATACAAAAAATAATTCATTCTTTGAAATTACAAAACCTATATAACCCATTAGGAGTTTATGTATTGGTGTTAAAAACTCAATAGTAGTTCACGTAAACCTATTTGTACGCAATTTTATAAAAGAACTCAAATTAACGGAAATCATTTCGTTAAAGTTGGTAATAATTTAATTTAATCTTTCTAATTGTTACTACAAAATTTCTAGGGCAAATAAGTCGATTAATTTTTAATTTATCTTACAGATATAAATGCCGATCATATTTAAAAATAGTTATCGACTGCTGTTTCATCAAGTTCGTCAAATATATCTAAAACTGTTTGTATACAAAACCTAAAATCAAAATATTGATATCTATCTCGCATATTCATAATTATCCTACTAGACAAAGAGATTTCATTAGTAGTAGATATATTGTTAAAAGGAGCCACGATTTTGTTGGCATAAGCTTTCTCAATCAACTTTCATGTAGTATAAAAATTGAGA